TTCTCTGCTCCCTGTCTGTGTCATGGATGCGTAACAAGCTGCAGGTCCGTGTGTAAGTGTCTATTTGACTGAAGGCAGACAGGATGAAGCTACACTTCAGCGGCATTCACACAAAATCCAGAAACACGGCACCTTCCTGCAGGGCTGTGCAGAGGTGCTACTTGTGCTACAGAATGTAACTGAAAAGAGCATTTGATTCATCAAACCATCTCTTTAATCTTGTCCCTCGTACATCGACCAAAGGTGCTTGCCAGAAAAGAGGGGCCAACTTTTAATGGTGCATTTACAAACAGCAACAGACAAGTCCTGCATTGCATGTCTTTAATTTTGGGCCTGAACAATGTCACAAAATAGTAAAACAATGAGAATGTAAATCACAATTTCACAGCAGTGACGTCCTCAAATGTCTTGTTTTTTCCGACAGTCGAAAGTTAAAAGATATTCAGTTTACTGTCACAGAGGACCAAGAAAAAAAGAATATAAAGTCTGAACCAGCGACTTTGTGATGCTTTTGCTTAGAATTAGAACTAAGTAATTAATCAATTATTGCTGTTGATTAATTTTCTGTTGATCAGCTGATTGATAAATTGACTGTTTCAGCTCTGCTTGAGATAATCAATCATGCAGCGTCCTCTGGCTGAATAGTAACTTTAACATCAGGTGAGATTTTACCTGTGTATCTGGCAGGTTTTTCTTCTGCTGTTCTACATTGAGATATGTTTTATGGAAAAAGAAAAGGAAGGAGGAAAAGAAGAAGAGGATGAATCAGTTCAAGATCAAGATGAGGAGCGAGTACAGGAAAAAGAAAAGCCGTAGAGTTGTAGCTCTGCAGTAGTCCCTGTGTGGGTGTACTGGTGTGGGTGCTGGGCTCTTACTGGTTGGCAGTGGGCGGAGCAGTTGATGCTGCTGGTGCGGAGCATGTGGAAGCCGCTCGCCGGGTCGAGGCTGCGGCTGCACTGCCTGCTGTGACACAAGCCGTCATCATCGTGCTCCACCAGAGTCTGACCCGGCCGCAACACGCCTCGCTCGCCGAACACACACACTGCCTCGCGCACTGAAAACACACATACACACACAGAGGTCAGGGGTCAAAGATTCTGGACTTGTTGAAAGTGTTTGGAAACTGGCAAAACTGAATTAACTTTTTGTTTAATTAAAAAGGGTTAATATTTTTTGTGTGAGTTTCTTTTTCTTGAACCAGCAACCCAAACTAGCAGTACTCACCACACTTGTATCTTTTGCAGGCACATTGGTTCTGTGGGTCGGACAGGAAGGCCCGGTCCAGCTGGGCAGCTTCTCCCTGCAGAAGACAACAAGAACCGAACCAGGGTCACCTAACATGATGGCACATGATGTTGAATGATGACATGATGCCTTCTACTGATGTTGAAATACAAAACTAACTAACCCAATGAGTTTTTATACACACATAAATCATATAAAATACATCATTACACGTCTAAACAGATGGACTGAATATTAGAAATCAAGCCGTACCAGGCCGCATTTTGGGGAGGCGATCTTTTCACAGGAACACTCTGAGAACAGAAAACACGATTGGTCATCATCTTCACATTTCAGCTGTGATCAGGCAGTAAGCTGACACTACATAAATCAAACAGTAAATAACTCATCATATCATCATGAACCAAAAGTGACCAGTCAGGATAAATTGAACCCTTTAAAACCCGTTTCATGCTGCAGTGGAGTTCTGACTGATTCAGCTGTGCCTTTGAAACAATGTAAACATTTTCTTGCTGTTGGTTTTACGATTCTTACCGCATGTTTGGTTGGGACAGCAGCGACCCGGACTGGACACGGACACCACCGACATCCCAACAGGACAACTAAGCTGAGGACACCTGTAGGGCTCACACACTGCGCACACACACACACACACACACACACACATATACACATGTCAAAAACATGCCAGTCACTTATGTATTCATAACTGTTGTCAGCTGTTTGTATTAGAACATAACAGATAACTCAGTCAGGCCGATAATATTGGACAATTCTAACTCATAAAATTGTTATAGGCATTTATCAGTAACAAGAAACTGCAGTAATGCCAAACATATGTTTAATTTAGAAAGAGTGTATTACATAGTTTGTACATCAGAGAGCACTGACAAGTTTATTTTTCAACTGTAAAATCTCGCACAATTCTGTTCATATGGTAACAATTTAAAAAGCGGAATGAATAAATTAGTGTGTGTGTGTTCTGACCACATTGGTAGGCGGGGCAGCAGCGGTCCGTGGTGTTACTGTCCACCGTCAGCACCTCGCCATCCAGGCAGAGAGGAGGCGTCTCCAGACAGGAAGAACACACTGCAGAGAACACAGACTTCATTCATTAAACAGGTGACTTTAACCTGCTGAACGTTCACTAATGGCTGACTGTGTCACAGAATATAAAAGTTAAAGCAGTTTATTTTTAAACTCACTGCAGATGTGAGCGAGACAACAGCTGCCGTCAGCTCTAGTGGCAATCAGAGTCTGGTCCTCTCTGCAGGTGGGATTTTCCGACTCACAGAGTTCAGGATCACACTCTGTAACACACACACACAGACACATTAAAGGAATGGTTCCACATTTAGGAAATATGCTACTAAGATATACAGAGAGCTGCTGCACACACACCCTTTGAATCGGGTTGTGGGTTGACACAAAATATGGTGATGGAAATATTATTGGATTAAGGTAAACACTTTAATATAGTGCATTCCTAGTACAATAAAGTGAAGCCATCACTCTGTTGATCAGAGAGGAAGCTCACCACACACGTAGTCCGGACAGCAGGAGTCCTGTCTGTAGTACGACACCAGCTTCTCCCCGTATTTACACTCAGGAGGGAGCAGGTCACACAGGCTCTGGTTACACACTGCAGAGTCAGAAATGTTTTTTGGTTAATAATTTGCCCCAGATTTGAACAGTAAGGTTTGCTGATTCAGATGCCGCACTGTGGCCTCACCGCAGACTTTCTGTGGGCAGCAGCTGGTGTCATCAGCCAGGCTGATGATCACCTCCGCTACTCTGCGGCACACTGGCACCACCACGTTGGAGCAGTTGTACTCCATGGGTACGATGGTGTCGTTGTCGCAGCGGTACATGCAGCAGGCATCCTTTGAAGCTTTCCACACCTCGCCGTGTGCACGAGGAACGCCTGAGCTGTCAGTGCAGGCTGCAGACACACACACACACACACACACACACACACACACATCACACACAAAGCCATGAGCCTTCCTAGTCTCACTGTTATAGCTGACAGCACTAGCAAGCAGAGCACTAAGGCTCGATATTTCTAGATATCAATTTCAAGTACAGTGTTTGTATCTGTTCGGTAGTTTCAAGAATTCTTACGATTGTCAAATACTTGTGAACTTAAACCTAAAGACAGATGATTATTAATTATATTTTTCAGGTTACAGAAACAATCTCATGCCATCACAATCTAATGTTGTGACCTTTAGTTCGAGACCTCCTGCTCTGTGCTACAGACAGGTAAACTGGCGTCTTACCACACTTCTCAGGTGAGATGCAGAGGGCGGAGTACGGCCGGTGGAGCAGCGTTCCCTCAGGACACACACAGCCCTCGGTCAGGCCTGAACACTGATCCGGGTCTGAGTCAAAGTCGTGGTTTGGGCAGGACTGAGACGTGCAGGCTGGCAGACAGGCCTGATACTGAAGAGTGTCGGGACACACGAAGGCTGAAGGAAGAGACACAAACATGTCAGTGCCTCCAACACTTTACTTTACTTCACTTTTGCATTAGCTTTTGCTTTGTTCTGCTTATCTTTTAGTTTGTGTACACAAAAGTGTTTCCTTCATGTTTAAAGAGCAGGTGTGAGCGTTTAAATGTTTTAATGTTTTAACTGCAGACAGAAATCTTACGGCAGTAATCTGGACTTCTCCACTCAATGCAGATGTTGAATTTGTGGCAAGAAGCAACGTAGGCAGCCAGCGCCACACACTGGTTGTTGACATACTCTGCATCTCGTACCCAAACCTCACAGAATGTGCTTGGCTGGACCTGGAAACCAAGAAACAATCAAATACATAGAAGATAGCTGGAAGTTATATAGTGTCTAACGTCAGAAGTTTTTAATCAGTGGTATTTCATAAGTCATCTAATATTTCTGGTACATGTTATATGAGTCATTTAGAATTATCTTGTTAATTCGCATAGTTTAACTTATTTGTCAAAGGTATTTTATTGAAGAGAAGAGAGAGAGCAATAACTGCAGAACCAGGCTTAAAAACTTTTAATCCACTGGCTCTTGCGTAAACGGAGAAGAACCTGGAAATGAGTTCACAGATGGGTTAACGTACGAAGGCGTGGCAGGGTGTGAAGGCGTGGTTCTGCAGCATGTCCAGGCAGATGGAGCAGTCACTTGTGGAGCAGTTGAGCTCGCGGCGGCGACTGTTGCTGATGTAGCTGGTGGTGTTGGGAACCTGCCAGCTGTCGATGAACAGAGCTGGATCCTCACCTACGCCCAGTGTGGTGCCATTGGCCATAGTCAGGTCATTTGTTGGGTCTCCATCACAGAATCCTGAGTTGGGTGTCAGAGGAAAGGGTAAATGATAAATGGACTGCAATTACACAGTGCCTTTCTAGCCTTCCAACTTCCTAAAGAGGAAACATTTATCTTTCATATAACTGACAAAATATATAAACAATTGACATCATCAGCTGCATTTTTAGTGACTCGCTTCTGTGTGATCGCCCCAGTAAGAGGAAACTGTGCAATAACAGAGCATGCAAGCAAGACAGGTGTTTTAAAGCAAGTAATCCAATAAAAATTGTACAATACAATTATGCGTGGAGTCCTTCAGCAGGACTAAGACAACTCTTACCACAGAGGCCCATAGTGGGAAGCTTGTTGTTGCTGGAGCTGTCGGTGTCGATCACCATCATGCCGGTGCTGTGGTACCACTGCAGCTTGAGACCAGCCGGGCTGCGGATCAGGTACATGTTGCCTGTGTCGTAGACCTCAAAGCCAAACTTCTTAAATCGAGGCTTGGCGTAGCGAGAGTTGACATAGAGCTGAAAGGAAATGAAAAGTGCATGTTATCAGATAGATTTAGCTTTATTCTGCTCAGGTGACAGTTAATATATATATATGAAAATCAGGATAGTAAGGAAGCGCCTCTTACCCTCCTCTGCAGCCTGTTGATGATGATGTGGTTGGATTTGTGGGTGATGTTGAGCGCCACCAGGCACAGGTTGGTGAAATTCCAGAGGAGCTTTGGAAAGAAGAATAAAATGAATGACGAATCAAATCGGTGACTTACATTCAAATGGCTGTAAGGGAAGCTGCTAAGTGTGATATTGACTCACTGGAGACTCTGAGTCAGCAGGACACTCCTGAACCAGGACGCTGACAGTCTCATTGGGCAGCTGGGTCACTATGTATGAGGCAGCTTTGTAGATGGCAACGCTGTTCCCGTCAAATGTGATCACATTCAGATCAGGAAACATGGAGCAGCGACCTGGAACAGACAGGAGAGATGACAATGATCTGAATGCAAGAGCTGGTCATCATCATTCAGTCAAATTTACATGTTTGGAGCTATGGGCAGAGTTGACTTCTGTTTTCCTCACATGGACAGTCCCACTGGGGGCAACACTTGTCTCCGTTGACCAGTACAGCAAAGCCAAGCAGGCCACAGTTGGGAGGGTCCGAGGTGAAGGGGCAGCTCTGGGATTTGTTGAACAGGACAAGTTGGTTGTTGACACAGATGTACTTTGTGCACTCGTCAACAATCTCTGCATACGGAGGCTGGAATGAAACAAATTAAAGACCAAGAGAAGACATATTTGTACGCAGGATAGAAAGGTAGTGTGTCATAGGGACTTCATTCAAAATAGACATAAACTCCTTAATGACTCCTTAATGGAGAAATATTCTTAAACTCTGAGTTTACTTAATTGCTTTCCAGAGCTTTTGACTGTATCCCACGGTCAACTTCAGACACAAAATACCATGTTGTAATATCCGATGCCCTCACATATACAACCACTTATGTGATCGAAGCGTCCATTTGCCGTGGGAGACCTCGGATACTCTCTGGAAAAAGCTAATAAGTTAACCTTTAGAATAATTTATCACAAATAAACTATGTGTGAATTATTCTGCTTGTACTTCTGGAGAATAGAAAAAATGTCTGTTGTACTAAAGCAGGACAAAAACAAGAAGTTGAACACTTGTGAGTGGGTGCTCTTATTTGAAATTTTTGCTTTCAATTTTTTTGGTACAAATGAATGTAAACCAATCAGAATCAACGTTAAAGTGACAAAAAACCTGAACCTACAGTGCACATCCTTGTAGGTGACACAGCCATGGACGTCGCCCTCTCTGATGTGTGTCCGGTTGTTTCCGAAGGTGTGTAAGGTGATGGAGGTGCAGGAGGAAGCGTTGTTGCACCTGGACTGGTACGATCAACTCTGTCCTGCTCAGTAGTTTGGATCGAGGTGGTTGCTGGGAGTGAAGTCGTGGTGGAAGCGGAAAAATCGGGCTTCTGGGTGGAGATCATTGTATCAGGTGGAGGCGTCACTGGTTGAGATGAGAATGGTGACATGTCAGTCTCTTTGGTTGTCAGGGTTTTCTCGGATGTGGCTGACTCTCTGGTGGTTGTCGTGGGAAGAGCTGTAGATGCTGTGACTGTTGTTAGAGTAGGAACAGGCACTCCAGCGGTTATGGTGGTCGGGCGAGGAACCGCTGCAGTTGTGTCGACACGTTCGGTCGTGCTCGCTGTAGTGACCGACTTGGCAGATGTTGTGATGGTTGTAGTTGGCACACCTGACACAGTTGTTGTGCCAGGGCTTGGTGTGACCGTCAGTGGGCCGAGAGTAGTTGATCTGATGGTTACTGCTGGAGGCCTCGTTGCTATGGTAATCCGAGCAGTGATGGGCCTGATGGTTGACCTCAGAGTCGCCGTGATTCTGGAGGTCACTCTGGTTGTCACAGGAACTCTGGGTGTCGTTCTGATTGTGGTTGTCCGTGTGAGGGTGGTAGTTGGTGTAGCAGGTGTAGCTTCTGCAGTGGACACCAGCCGGGTGGTGACTTTGTCCAGGAAAGTCGTTGACCTTGGAGCTGTGGTGGAAGTGGTTGTCTGTAGCGGAGACCAAGATGGAGGCGGCGTGGTTGTAGCTCTTGTTGACACTTCAACTCTGCCAGTCACTGGTTGCGTTGTCTCTGTAATCGGCTGTATAACGACAGGTCTGAGAGTGGTGGTAACGACACCTGGTGGAGCGCTTGTGAAGAGCGTGGTGAGAGGTGTCTCAGGAATATCAGGACCAGGTGGAGGTGTAACCAGTTTTCTGGTTGTGGTGGCAGCAATTTCTGCAGTGGAGATTTCCAGAGACGGTGTAGTTTTGGCAGTTGTGGTAGTAGGTGTGGCAACAGCTGATGTCGCAGAGGTGACAACTGTCTTTGATGTTACAGGAAGGTGAGGCACTTCAGTAGTTTTAGTGGAAGTGACTACATGGATTTCTGATGTGACCTGGGGGGTAGTCTTCGCTGTTGGGCTGTATAACAGGGTGGAGGAAGTCTCCCAATGGGGGGGACGCCATGGCTCAGACGTCTGCATGGTAGATGCAGGATGGGTGGAGCTCTCTGTTGTTGGTAAAAGTGGTACAGTAGTGGTTTCTGTCAGAGACACTGGCTGAACAGTTGGTTCTGTTGTGACAGCGGGTCCTGTGGACACAGTGGAGGTCTCTGGAAACTCTGGAGGTCTTGAAGTTGTGGTCTGAGTGGTTTTCTCTGTAGTTGGGGCAGCAGTGGACCAGAAGGTTCTCTCAGAATAAGTTGTGGAGGTGGACACAAGAGGAGTTGTGGTGTCTGTAATCTTCAGAGGGGGAGGTGCAGCCGTTGTTGTGGTAGCTACAGGTATTTCAGACACAGTGGATTCTATTCCCGTCACCTTCTCTGTTGTTGTTCTCCAGTCTGTAGTAGCTGAGGTAGGAGCAGATGGTACAGTTGTAGTCGGGACAACATGGATTGGGGTTGACATTGGTAACTCAGGAGCAGTTGTTGTAGAAGTCGTCACTTCAGTAGGAGTGATGTGCAGAATCTTCTCTGTGGTTCCAGGTGGTGATGTTGTCTCTGGACTGATGTACTGTGTTGTTTTACTGGTGGTGAAAGGGGCAACTGGTGTGACTGATTCCGTGGTTTTAGCTGAAGTGATTATAGGCAAAGATACAGTTCTTGTTTCCACAGGAGGTGAAGTCTGGAGAGGTGAAGAGGTTGTGGCGGCTGTGCTTGATAAACCCGGAGGGCTGGGTGTAGTTGTTGTTGGGGGAAGTCGCTCCGCTGTTACAGGCTTTGTGGTGGGTTCTGTGTATGCGGTGGTAACTGTACTGGGCACAGTAGTCCTGTCTGTAACTATAGACGTCTCTGAGACTGGTGTAGGACTTGAACTGGAAGCGGTTACAATTGAAGTAACTGCTGCTGAATGCGTAGTAGCCTCTGTGGTCTCTTTGGTTGTGTGCACGACAACAGGAGGAGAGGTACTGATGGTGGTTGGCCCTTTGACAAAGCTTGTGGTCGATGCTGCAGTGGTAGATGGTTGTGGGGTCGTGGCAGTGGTGGTGAAGCGAGGCAGCAGCAGGTCGGTGGGCTTGGTGGAGGAGGTGAGCCAGAACAGAGCTGTGATGGCGAAGGGAGCGCTGCTTGTCCTGGACGTGCTTGGGCCAATGGGGATCGTTGCAGCTCTGGTCGTCCATGCTGTTGTACCTGTTACAGAGGTGGGTGGGGGTTCAGTCACTCTGACAGTAGACAGAGGCTCCCCCACCGCTGGCCTGACAGTAGGAGGCGCTGTTGGGGGAGATGGGGGTCCTGCTGTTCTAGAAAGTTCAGGAGCTGCAGAAGGAGAGATGGTGACTGGACGGGTCGGCTCATCAGGGGCGGGTGGTGCCATAGACGTTGTCTGTGCAATCACAGCGGGAGTGGTGGTGGTGATTTTAGTGGTAGGACCAGTGTGTGGATGTGTGGAGGATGTGGCAGCAGTGGTGGTGGTGGTGGTGGTGGTGGTTTTGAGGGGTGTGGTTGAGGCAGTACTGCTTGTGGTGGTTGCAGAAGTGACAGCTGCAAAGGTCGGCTGAGCAGTGGATGGTGTTAGAGGCTGCACAGCAACTGGGACCTTAATGCCTGAACCCAAACAATAAAAAATGTGTTAGAGAAGAGCTGAGCTAGTTTATAACTGAAAGGAGCATATACAGCTTCCTTTGAGTGTTAGGTATACATTTGGTTAGCAGTAATGTAAACTAAATGATTTGGCCGAATTTAACACATTTAACAGACAATTTAACTGTGAATCCTATTTAGAACATTGACATCATTGTTTATCATTTCTGTTGTGTTAATATGGTTTTTACAATTATTTTATCTGTTTGATTGATTTTCTATTTACTCTTATTTAGGTTTAGAGCCAGAGCCCCCTAGCAAAACACGAGTCCAACTCCAATGGGGACTTGCATGCTTCAATAAAAGTTAGATAAAGTTAAAGGGTCAAAATTAGTCAAATATGTAAGAATGAACTATGAATATTACTACATATTCTCACATGCTACAGATTTTAACAACTTAACAATTAGTAGTAGTAGTTGTAGTAGTAGTAATTTAGAGGACACAAAAAACCAATTGGCGACCAGTGTAAGTGTCAATAAGTAAAAATTAAACAAGTATGTAGTAGATTGGAGATGAGTTTAAATGAAATGTACAGTAACCACTTTGAAGATATTGTGTAATTTCTTGTGTTAAATTCCCTAATTGTGTTTTAGTGGTTAATATAGGGGACAGGTGTAGGTATAAGTAAAGACTACAAAATCAACATGACTAGGAGTCCGACCACATAACATCCTGTCCCACTAAGAAATCAGTTTATTATCAGAAGCTAAACACCACTGAACTCAGTCAGGGGATACTCACAGTCTTCAACATAGACACACCGACGGGTGACCTCATCCAGGACCATGTGTGGGGGACAGACAGGAAGGCAGCCCTCCACTCTGTAGAGAGAAACACACAGCCGTGAAAAAGCAGGAAGATCTATGCTCTGTTCTGTTTTAGATGAGTACTGATGTGCAGTCTTTTAATTCAACATTAACAGCATTCTGTCTAGTCTAAAGATGTCAAGCATGTCTACTGTACCATAAAAATTTCGGGTTATGGACACATTGGTTATGACTGAATGGAATACAGTTCGACTGGATTTAAATGTAGGTCTTAATCATCTGAAAGATCACCTCCGCATTTTTTCAGCGTAGGTGGACGTGAAGAGAAAATCACACAGAAAAACTCCTGTGTTATATGTTGCATGGAATATTTCAATGTCACTTTTCCTGGAGAGATTTTATTCTAGATTAAAGCAAAGAGTAAAGAGTTTAAATCTCTGTACTTTCCTATATATAGCTGTACTTTAAATAATTTCCCCCTGGGATTATTAAAGTATTTCTGATTCTGATTCTGACTCTCTTTACTTTAGCTTGCTTAAAGCAGCAACCTTTTTCACATCATTTTGTGTTGATTCTGGCGGCCCCTGTGGACAGAAGCGGTAGTGTTTCCACTGCCTCATTTCATTGATTTTAAGGGGAATCCGACAGAATCCGACTCAGTGGCAGGCATTAAGGATAACTATATAGAAAAAGTTAATCTTCTTGCTTATGTAGGTCATTTAGAGTTTTAAAATTGAATTTCATAACCAGTTAAAAACACCTTGTAGTATGTTTAACTACATCCTCCTTGCACTTACCATTGCTCACTTTAAATACATTAACATATTTGAAGATCTAGTTGGTATATATTTTTTAAAAATATCCCTCTCTAGAAAAGACTTGTCTGTAAACTGTTTGAGTTGTGCTGAGCTACTGAAAAGGTTAAATGCCTCACTGTGGGATGGTGACGCAGGCTTCAGCTGACGGGTCGCTGCAGGTCTTGAAGCAGGGGATGGCGCAGGAATCATACCTCCACTGACACCGAGGAGCGGGCGGGGCGTCTGGGTTGTGGCCTGATGAAAAACACACAACACTTTTACTTCAAGGTCACAAGACTGTAATGTGTGTAATTGGCCTTCTTGAACAGTTAATATATGAAACTCTTTGGCGAATGCATATACAATACAAACTTTTGCATGTCCACTTTCAGATCAGATTTAATTGTACAATAGCTTGATGAATAGCCCCTTGACCTTCCCCTCAATTTAACCTTCAGCAAGATGGGTCAAAAATATATACCTCATAGTCTCAATGAAACTGCTCATAATACAAAATAAAAGTCACTCTAATGTCGCTTCAATCATCACGAAAGGTTTTATGTGAAAAGTGTATCACGTTATTAATCTAGACTGGCTGAAAAGGACCCGCAAATGTTTTTACAGATGAGTAATGTGATGAACTTAGAAAGCCATTAGTGTCCGTCTGAAGTCTGGACTCTGACTCTGGACTGAATGTGTGCGGCATCCACTTCTGTCAGCAGGAAATCCAATCTGCCATTGGCTCCTTTTCCATTAACTAACACAAATGCTGCTGTATTTTTAGCATCAGTGATTAGCACGGCTGCTCTCTCAGCCGAGTATGCAGGCAGGGGAGTCACTGCTCTTGATCTTTGACCCCAGAGAGAAGTGCTGACCGAACGCTAAGCCAAGCTTCCTGAATACTGACTGATGGCTGAGTGAGGCCTAAAAATATAAACCCAGAAAACAACACAGTTCACAGATCATTTCTGAGTGTTTTCAGTAGTATTAGAATTAAATTCCATTATTATTTTGTCTTCAATCTATTTCATTGTTTAATTAGATTCTTAGGCTTTATGCCAACACAATCGTTTTGCCATTGTCACTGTAGTGTCAGTGTCAGTGCAGCCTCAGTAACCCCGACTGTTAGTGAGTGCTGTGTGTGATGTGTTCGCTGCCTGTTGGTGCTGCTGACCTGTCAGTCTGAACAGCGTGGCCTTGCGGAAGCTGTCAGTGTGTCTGTATTTGAGCAGGTGGAGGCGGGCCAGCGTGGCATGCAGGAAGAAGCCGGGTTTGGCGTGGGACTCCAGCGAGTCATAGCCGGGGATCCAGGTGTTCCTGTGGAGGACGAAGGTTGCTCCGTCCCAGAATGCCTCTCTCTCCTCCCACTTGGCCAGCATCACCTGGCCGCTGGGGCTCGCATACAAGAAGTAGTTCGGCCGGTCGGCTGCCTCAAAGGACACCCGCGATGTGTCTGCGTAGGTGGAAACAAAATAAATCAAGGAGACTTTGACAACTGAAGTTTTAAAATGTTCTTGCTATAATGCATAATACATTGTTTCAATTAATTTCTGTTCTCATTTAACCCCAGTGGTTGATGTGTGAGTGATGTGCACTCTTATCCTGTATTATTGGTAATAAATTGTTTTGTAGGGTTTTGTTTGTATGAAGGTAATTGGCATGCACTTGATGTGAAACTTAGCTGCCTTCAGGTCACCATTAAAAACAGATTTTATCTCAAAAGTTTCTTTTACCTGGATAAATAAAAATAAATGTCACCAAATAATTTATACATTTAAAGACACAATGTCCATGTGTTTCTGTTCACCAAATGAATGAAGGTCCAATATTCTTAAGAAAACATCAGCCTCTTTAGTTTATAAATACTCCACTATGAAAGACAGAAAGTCTGGATATTGCACATGGCCACTGAATTCCTCTTAAACAGGATCCAGAGTACAGCAGTATCACAGCTCACTTGCAGTAAACGGTGAGACCAGCTTGTTCTAGTCTTGGCTTGCTGACCAGCCTGCAGCTCAGGTTGCCATATTAACATTTGGCAATCTGATCTCTGAACCCCTCTGCCACTGGAAGTCAATGAAAGTCCATCTCCTCCATCAGTGTTTTCACTGGCACGCCCAAATCATTCCAAACACTGTTGAATGCAGTGGAAGAGAACGCCTACTGGCTGTCGTTCAGTCAGAGCAGAAAGAGTTGAAACTCAGATTCTTAGATTAGCTGAAGGAGGACAGGATAGAGGAAGAGCAGCTGGCAAACAGGGGGTGAGGGGGACAGGACGATCTGCTGTGTGATGCAATGTAGAGCTGATGTCCAGCTGTGACATTTGGTGACATTTCAAATTCAAATACTGTTTAGTCAGTGATTGGCTTGGCTGGTGATTACTTTACACTACATGTCACATTCACCCATCCACACACATTCATACACTGATGCCACAGCATTCTTGTCCAGGATCTTGACTAGGACACTTCGACATGCAGAGAGAGGAGCTGGGGATCGAAATGCCAACCTTCTGTTCTGAGTTAATAACCGGCCCTACCTCCTGAGTCACAGCCTTGCTTCTACGTCAGTACTAACAAGGTCCAACCATGCTTAGCTTCAGAGTTTGGGTTCAGGTTGGTATGGCCACTTGACAATTAGCTTCTTGTAGTCATGAGAATATTGAGCTTCCTCACTTAGTTGCAAAGGCGGAAGTAAGTTATCCATTATCAATCATTCTTTGCATTGGACCAATCCGAAGTACTACGAGCAGTGGGCGGCCACCTTGCAGCCTACAGGGACAAACTCCAAAGTCTCAGGGATAAGATCAAGGTGGATGGTGTCCTTGTTTTTTCTTGCCATTAAGACAATCTTTCTTTAACCGTGACCAGGTAGTTTTAGTTCACTAACCACAGGGGTGTCAGATCAGAAAACAGAAATATAAGTCATCATATGGGTGAATTTGAAAGGAAACAATCTATTTTCTCATTAAGGTTACAGGACTTGTTAAATAGCAGAAGTCAAGTTGCCTGAAGGCCAAAATACATCTCTGTCTTTCATTCAGCAGCTCTCCGTATTCTGCTGACAGAAAAACATATCCCTGTGCTATCTACACAAAGATCGAACTTTCCCAAACTCCACTACAGAAGTTCTCTTTCATCCACTGATCCTGCATCTACTGTATCCTGCATTAGTAAAGCAGACACTTCTTCTTTTCTACAGTGACACTAAATGAGGTAAAATAAAACTAAAAAGCTAACTACTAAAACTAACCACAAGGTTCCCACACTCACTCACACATACAATTCAAGGACATCTCAAGGTCTTCATTGAGGAATCACTCTTGTATTTCTGTCCATGTGGACCCTTTTTAGAGCATTAATTTAAAAAGAATTGAAATTTTTTTTTCATCTACTTCTCAGATAAATAGTTGTGACTTCTGACAAAAAGCAAAAATAAAGGAGAAGACTGCAGAAAGAGTCGGGAGAACGCTGCACAGAAGAAATCTCTGTCAGCTCAGTAGTGAAATGAATCCTGCTCTGTAAATAAAGTCAAACCCTGCAGTCCGAATAGACTTGCCGTGTGGTCGGGCTCTGCTGAGGCCTGGCGTCATCATGAACTGCGAGAGGACTCCAGGGGCGGCAGTGGTGCTCAGGTTGCCCCGCTGCAGGAACACAGAGCCACTGGACCTGCTGGCTGCCAACAGCGTCGTCCGATCCCTGAAGGTGATCAGCCTGAAGGGACCTTTCCCCAGAACTGCAGACAGGAGGCCATATTAATGCAGCAGTGATTATTGTGAATGTACACATAATTTATAGATTAAACCACATGTAAGTGCAAGTGTGTGTGCATCTCTGTGTGGCTGTGTTGTGCTGGGTGTCGTAGTGCTGGATGTGATGTGTGTGTGTGTGTGTGTGTGTGATGTAAGTCGGTTCAAATAGCTCATAAGTCCAGCTGGAGAAGAGTATCTTACAATACCCACGTTTGCCAGTCTGCTAAGACATTCACCAATCGTGACGCTCAGAGAAGAAGCACAGAGACAGCTCTAACTAACAACTAATCAGCGACTTGATAATCACTAATCAAAAGCACTACTTTTTTCTAATTAAGCATAATTGTTAATCCCTCTTAAAGAATCACAGCCCTGTAACTAATGGTTTTATTAATGGTTTATTATTATTATAATGATTATTATAGTTGTAGGCTTCAGATGTATATGATCTGTTGAATCAAAGGCTAGGTTCACACTGCAAGCCTTAATGTTCAGTTCTGATTTATTGTTCAGATCGGATTTTTTTGTTTGGTTGTTCACATTATTTTCTGAATGTGGCCCATACCAGTGGGAACAGGTCATGGCCCTGAAGTGACCTGCATGATGATCGTAGATCTAGAGTGACATAAAAGTCACATGAATTCTGATATGACTGTTCACACTGAGGTCACATTGCAAAGAATCAGACCTGTATCTAATTTGGATCACATAAATGGGCCCAAATCAGAATTGAAAAGATCAGATTCCATGTGGTTTGTGCTGTTCACACTGTCATGCCAAAATCAGATTTTGGTCACTTTGGCCCGAAATAATGTGTTCTGACTTACGGCACAGAGACGGGGTGCGCCAGTCGACAGGAACGCCCTGGTGGCAGCAGCGCTGGGCGTATGCCGCCACGCTGGTGCAGAAACACTCACAGTCGCCACCACGACTGCAGGCACACGTGTCTGCCAGGCAGTTCATGTAGAACCAGGTCACATCCACCTGAACACGGCAAAAAACAAACACTTTTCAACAAGTTACGACCTACAGGATAAGCAGGATGTACTGGGGTCAAGAAAAAAAATTGCATTCTCAAGTCAAACTATTTATCTAATTACCTATTTATTTTATTCTACATCTAAGTGTTTGATGCTCAAATGACTATAAATGCATGACATGAAGAGTTTCACAATTACAAATCAGGTTGAAAGTCATATATTAACTGTAAAAGAACAACAGATGGCAAAGAGCAGTTTTCAGAACTCAACAAGAGAAGTTACAGCACTCCAAGAGAGAGTCCAAACTGCAGGCCAGAGGGCTGCTGTACTGTTACTCACCACTGGGTGGCAGGCCTGGAAGACCTCACCAAGCAGGACGGCACACTGACGCTTTGCAAAAGGCTCTCTGAGCGGACTGAGGCTGCAGGGGTGTCTGATATCTGGACTGTTCACACACTGAACACACGCAAACACACACAGTGGTGTTGAATTACTGCTTTTTATTAGAGGTTGAGTAGTAAAGTCGAAAAAGGTCTCGTCTAGTGTAATATGTTGGTTGCACAAGTGTTTAAGAGACTTTTTTTCACACTTTACAGCTACAATGTTTATTTGTAAAATGTAAAAGGGTTCACCAGGGTGTTGATGATACAGGTGAGGTGACGTTCACTCACCTCTACTGCAGTCCAGCTGTTTCCAAACTCCTGTGGAGTTGGGGAGTCGATGTTGTCGGGGGTCCGCATCTCGTTCACCGTCTTCATGTCAAAGTTCCCACACAGCCCGCTTAGCTTCCCCTGAACACATCACCAACATCCCCCTTTAATCAGATCCTTTTTATACACTGATATGCACCTAATATAATCATATCTTGAATATGGAGTCTATGCTCGTACTGCAGCATTGGTGCAATACAGCATCTGGCCACCAGTGGCAGCACTGAGCACATTGATGCTGAGCAGTCCTTCAGCTGGTGATAAGGAAGAATGCGCCATGTTTGGTTTAATGTTTTATCAATATCTGTGTGACTAAATTGTTGAGGTTTTCTCTGATAACCGTCATAAAAGCAGACAAATCACTCCAATATTTGCTAACTCAAGGTCCACTTATTGGCTTTTACCGTAGCTTAAGTGTCCTTAGTCGTAAAATGTCAAGAATTAACTGTCAAGCTCAATCTTTCAACCAAGAAGTCTTTAGAAGTGCTCAGAAAGGAAAGTTTGAATATCTACAGTTGATGAAGCTCCCAAACAAGCGAGTAAGAGGAGCTTGAGTTGATTTGGTTTTGTCAGTTTCCAGAGTCAAGGATGAACTGTCAAGCTTGGCTTCAAGTATTATTTATCCTTATCATGGAAAGTGAGGGGAGGTCAGAACCAACAGGTAAATGCAGTCTTAATATGAAGAAACACATTTTTAACTTCTAGTCACATTACATTGGAGCATCAGCTAATGCAACCTAAAATCACAACCCCACAATGACCTACCTGCCAACTGGGTCCAACCTGGATGTGGACTGTGGTCTTGCGGTCCCAGAGGACTGTGACGTCTTCCTCTGGGAAATGAACCACTGTAAAGTATCCGGCTGGCCAGATGTACATCATCTGCTTCCTGTCAATCACACTGGATGGATTCTGCAAGGGAACAAGTATTTTACTGAAATATTCTCAGATGACGTAAATATGATAAGGGAACAAAATGTGTTTAAGAACTGACAATGAAGCAATATGAAATTCCTGCTAAAGACACAAAACCAACCAACAATTTGTTGCTGGTAACCTGCAGCAAATATAGAAAATATACTGAAAGTGACTCTTACTGGCTTCCCAGTGTCGTCATCGAATGCTATGAAGGATCTGCCGATGTTGATCAGCAGAGATTTCCTGCAGATGACTCCGCTGTCGAAACAGTCGACGTTCTCAGCTGACACACTGAGCATTACATCAGCGCTGCTCTGTGGAGGAGAGAAAACACAATCACAGAAAACTACCCAAGTCTTAAGAGCTAAGAAATGCTGCTGACGTTAAAAGTAAAAGTCTGTTTTTATTTGTAGCACTACACTAAAGTTCTTCACAATTTGAAATGTGATAAGAATGAGAAATTAGACATTTCCACTAATCTACAAATCAACAAATCAGTTAAGTTTTACTTTTACTGCCAACCAGATGGATTTCTCACTTCCTGAGTAGTCACTGGTTTCAGGTCATGTCAGTGGCGTTTGAAAATCAGTGTTAAAACTAGAGATGAGTAATTTGTCTAAAACCGTGAACGTTTATTTATTTCATTTATTCATATATTCTGATTATTTAAAAACTGGAAAAAACTGCATTGCCCCCTTACATTGCTAATTTGCATTATCTTCCTCCTTGTCTTTTCTTTTAATCAATCAATTTATCAAAATAGTTTTTAAGCTGCCAGTGTCATAAGAGGACAATCTTAATAGAAGCCTTTAAAAAATAATTGTTTTTTTCAGTAAAAAAATGCTAAGATTCCTGCTGAAGAACAGTCCAAAAAAGCTTTAAGTGTACAGATAGTTAATGGCTCTTACTACAAATAAATGCTTTCATTACCTTTACAAGATAGACTTTGCATGCACCAACGTAGTCAAACAGCAGCCCATCAAACGTCCTGTAGTGGCGATCACCGTAAGCCATGCACATGGATGGACACGGATGAAACACACACTGGAACGTCCCATGCTGGCAAACACTACAAAGACAGCAAAGCTTCAGTGATTCAGCATCAACTTGTTCCCACTTAGTTGGAGGACATTTTTTTCATCTCTAATGGCCTCCTTTTGTGGACAGCCTCAGGTTTACAGCAGGCAGAAAAGTGGCCAGTGAATTGTCAAAGGTTGAATCGCTGCTTATTGCGCTATTAGGCTGTCATCTACATCTTCTTCCCTGGCTACGGCTTGAAGGAGAAATGGAAGGATGGGAGAATGACTGAGATCACTGAGAGAGTGTTTCCTTTCACCAGCTATGAACAATCTGAAGCTGAGGGAATCAAAGAGTCATACAAGGGCCCGCTCTGTTTTCCAGGCTGTTTTCTGTCCCGTGATAACAGAGAATTATGGATATCAGGTGGCCACTTTCGCTGCTCTGACAATCTCAGGACACTGCGCTTTCAGGCTAAATCTGACTTTGAAAAATTAGCGACGTTGTTGTAGATTTGTCTTAAATCTGACAGATATTGTTGGCAGATGATTGGTGAGGGTAATACAAATTTGTATGCCTTGACAAAATGGATAAAGACCCACTGAAGGAAGGAAAATTAAAGTGTAGATCATTTTTATGAAGATAGTTTTATATAGATTTTATGTTTGTCTCCACAAATGCACAAACTCACCACTGATGGCAGGGGGACGAGACTCTGTCACCGGGGTAATACTCCTTTCCTTTCCATAGACAGGGGCAGGATGCAGGTTCAAAGCACTCGTCTCCATGTTTCAGCAAACTGGGGTTCAAACACAAGCTTGTTAGAGGACAAAACATTTCAAATCGCTGTATTTACTGATATGGAAAATGGAGCTTTGATGTAGTAGTTTGAGATCAAAAGATTCAGGTGATGCACAATGAGGTTTTCTTGGGTTAAATCGTGCAACAGAAGCTTCTTAATCTTACAGGACTCAAGGTGTTTACTTCACTTTGCTGGTTTTTTCCATTGAAAATTATGGAATTCACCAAAAATGCTTCTTTAAGACGCCTAAAAGCATTTCACTACTATAACAAGACAACTTGTTAACGTAATCCAACCAACTATAGCTCAAATTAAAGAGACTGAAACTCATCATAGGCAGATTCTAGACTCACATACCTGCCAAAACAGCAAAAGTGTCCATTTATACCTGGGTGATAATAGTTATACAGCAGCTATTTGGCTATTAACACCTGGTGCTCTAGCCATAAACAGCGACGAAGTCCATGTAGGGAGGAGGTAGTGGCAGGCAAATGGCTTAAACACAGGACTTTCCCAGTGGAGACTGGGGTTTGAGTCTCAAATGAAAAAAGATGATAATGTAGGCTTTTCATTTTTAGACTAAATTCACATATTATTTTAAGTTTTCCGATACAAGTCATTTTTTGATTGGTCAATAAGCCAGTAGATGTGCTCCCAAGAATAAACAGATGGAATTGTTGACTGAAATCATCAATAGGCCAATAAAAGAGCCTCATAACTCAGTACAATCCAATTTGGAGCAATGTTGGTTATTATTCAAGAGCTGTGGGCTAACAGGATGCTATCATGTTATAGCATAATCATCATTTGCTCCTGTGTTCATCTATAATCCAGATATGAGGACAGTCCTTTGCCAAGGGATCGACAGAGGCAGAGCCAAAGCAGGTTGGCTTCCAGTGCAGAGCGATGCCAGGAAACAAGAGGGAGAGAGTTTCAGGGGTGGGCGACTGTGGATGAAAAGCGGTAACACTCGTTAGCTACATGAGAAAACCAGACAATTAGGATTCTCAGAGATAGAGAGAGAAACAGTCTTTGTCTGGATGCCTCCATTTGCTTTCCACTCCGCGAGACGAAGCTGATAAGTATCTTGTAATATCCAGGGTTGAGCTATATCCACTGGCGAGGCTGCAGACAATGAAGTGACATACTGAATGGTCCCGCCACAAACCTCAGGTTCATCTGAGTAGAGTTACACCCCAGATAAAACGGTGTTAACAGCTTCCTTTATCCGCCCGCCAAGCTGCCGTATCAATTACTCTGATCAAAGTTTCTAAAATCATTCATTCTCCCGACCTACGTGCACATTATGAATAAATCTTCATAAACACAGCCCTCATTTTGAATTTAATTCTACCAGACGATGTAAAAGTGCCTGAGGAAGATGTAGTTGCATAGGGTGGCGACAGGCGAGTCAGTCGGCGCAGTGGGTTGACTGCAGCCTGCGATGCATCTGGTTCTGTTCCAGGTTTGTTGTGTGCTGCACAGTAGGCCAGTGAAGTAAGCAGTTCTCAGACAGAAAACAATGAAAGAATGTTGTTTCTGATTTTCTTTCATGTTTACATGAACATAAGGTACAACTTTATATTCTAATCCAGTGCATCAAACCACATTGTAGTTTTTCAGTTGCTCCACTGCATGCATTATGGTCTTTTTCTATAATTTGAATCTTATTGTGGACCTTTTCATTCCTATCCGCTGACTCCAGCTCCAAGTATTGGTTGTCTTGGTTGCAGGTATGCATGTTCTGGTATGCAGAAGCAAAACGTTGGTCACTGTTGTGTTTCTTATAGTTGTCCTTGTTGGGATGTGATGACACATATGCTTGACCAATCATGACCAATCAGCACGCAAACGTAAACTAGGTATCACCTCCTGAGAAAGTCCGGAATTTAGTTTAAGAACTTCCCAAAGCAAGTAGAGAACAGTGTAAACATAGCAGAACCCATTACAATGGTAACACTTTTTTTTTTTAAGTTGCTGCAGTGCAAAAGGGGTACAAGTGCTGACTTGTTTGAAATAATTAAACACACAACACACATTGCTATCAAAGACATTTAGGTCAAAACTGATACAAACGACTAAATTACTGTAATATTAATGGTTAATGACCATTGTGTAGAGTCTTGTGGCATTTAGCGGTGTAGCTGCAGATCACAACTCCCTCAGTTCACCCTCCACCTCCAACCGCAAGGGAGACAATACAGTGGCTGCGGCACACACTTAAAACGCAAACTGCCCTATCTAGAGTCAGTGTTTAGTTTTTATGAAATAAATATAAACAAATATGATAAATTAATTTTTTATAAATACTACAAATAAATAAAAGTACCTACTGCAGCTTTAAACCACGCCCGTAGCTACCAGTAGCTCCTCGTACAACGCTGATTGGTGCATAGCTTGAAGCCTGGCCAGATTTTTGCGGGATCTCTCGATTTTGTGATCTCACACATCCACCTGCTCTGCAAGGTTACACCAAACTGACACCGTACTGTATCACTCCGTATTTATTTCTAACTCCCTCAAACCTCTCCATGACAGTCCACAGACAAATAACAGGTTTCTACAGTTGTATATGTACATACTGTAACCAAAATCAAATTCTGGTATGCTGCACGGTCCTGTGTTGCACCTGAAAGTCCAGGTTCATATGAGTTCAGCTGAGCTAATTGTCACAGAATGAGGAATGGATGAATGGTCTACATTTTGATCATAAACAAAGTGTGCCATTGTGAATGAAAACACAATGGATTCTCCTGTCAGCACTTCAGCTAATTATTTCCCATTAGAGGTTTTAAAGTCCTGCTGCAGATGAATACCTTGCAGTTGACTTTGAGTTTTTTTTTCGTTCTGTTTTCATGATAATCATGTAAGTGTAGTATTAATATGACAGAGGGAACACCTGCTTATCAAATGATTTCTGGTTTAGAAAAGAAAACCAAATCAGGTTGAACATATGTGGCAGATGTGCAACAGGCCAACAAATGCAATGGGTCCAAAAAAAAAAATATATATATATATATATATGTTGTGTGTGTGTGTGTGTGTGTGTGTGTGTGTGTGGCGGGTAAAATAAGTATTGAACACATCACCATTTTTCTCAGTAAATATATTTCTAAAGGTGCTATTGACATGAAATTTTCACCAGATGTCGGTAACAA